GAGGAAAAATGGGGTGGGAAAGCAGCGAACGCGTACGCTGAGAAGGTGAGACAGAAAAGGGAGAGCAGGGAGAAAGGTGGTGAGGAGGAGGGAGGTGCACGAACGTGGTGTGGAGTTGAGAAAAGGGTAAAGATTGAGGGACGTGGATATAGGATGCAGGTGAAAGGACAAGAGGGGCAGTGCGAGAGGTGAGGGCGCTGAGATATGCGGAGGGAGTGCAGGAAGATGGAGATCTCGTAGAAAGGAGTGGGAGCCCTCCTCTTTGAGAGGTCCGTGGGTCGTCCAGGGGTAGGGGGTCCAAGCTTCCAGCAGTCGCTTCTCCGGGCCGCCGCCCCTAGGATCGGAGTCGGGATCCCGGGGAGGGAGCCACTAGCCAGCGAACCGTGGAGGAGGCGGGGAGGGGGGATCCGCATCCTGGGATTGGCCGCCGCTCCGCCGGTCGGTGACGCGAGGCGGGCGGGCCCCTTTGTGACATCACAATCAGCTGTTTGAACGTTCCAATTTGTGCCGTGAGCACAGCAGCGGCGGCTGCACAGACTCAAAGCCCCGCGGGCGAACGCAGCAGCCCTGAGCGTCCGACACGTACCCCAGCCGCCTTCCCGCCCAGCCCCCGCGATGCGGCCGCGCCTGTGATCAGCCGCCGACCCCGGGACGCCCCGCCTCACAACTACCTCAGCGCCACCTCCGCCCGCCGCACCGCCCCAGTCCCCAGGTGAGTTCCGACCGGCTTTGGCCAGGGGGCTCCCGGAGCCTGGGGACACGCCCCGCGCCCCCAGCTCCCGGGTCTTTGTCTGTCTCCGCCGGCTGCCTCCGGGGCTGCATTCCCGTCTCCGGATTGGCTGCCGCAAGCCCGGTAGACCATGACGTCTCCCGATTTGCATATGACATTGAGACGTCACCAAGGCCGGCACCGCCCCCTCCCCGCCTCTCGGCTCAGGTCGCTTGTCCTCCGGTGACCCGTTGGGCGCTGGGTCCGGGCTGGGCCTATGGGTGAGTGACGCTGAAAGGCAGCGGGACCAGAGGGTCCTCCAGTTTCCTCGGCTAATCCAGGAGCTGGGGTCAAGCCTCTGATCTCCTCCTTTCTTCTTGCGACTTGAGAGAGGTTCCGAAGGCGCTACTGGGTCTAGGTTTGGGGGGAGGGGGTCGTCAGGAGTTCAGGGGCCCCTGAAGCTTCGGCTCCAGGTCACTGGGGCAGCGCCAGATGGTGGTACAACCCCCTCCCTCTGTCTCCAGGTTCTGCACCCCTGGGACTAACATCATAACTTTCTCCGAATCCCTGACATGTGTGAAGCGCCTTAGCTGACGTCATTCCCAGCCCCCAAACGAGGGGTCTTAGACCCCATTTCATGGAAGGGAAACTGAGGCGCTGAGAGGGGAAATGGCTTACTCAAGGTCATGCAACCAGTGAAGAGTCATGCTTACGTAGTAAGTAGCAGATGCATTAGCCATGGGCACATAGCTAATAGGAGCTCATTACAAGTAACAAGTTACACATCCTCCTTCCACTGAAGACTCTACCTTGGGCTAAGCACCATTTAAATTTGATAGAGCTCCTATGTTTCCCCACTCCTGGATCTTTTCCCAGGAGGTCTCTGGAGATTGGGTCCCCTTTTGAGGCCCTGACCCTCACTCTGCTCTTTGGAGTTGCCAAACCCAATAAAATCACTGCCTCCTAGCTGTTTTGACCACAGAAATGTGAGTCAATGCCTGCCTCAGGGTGTCTCCGACGTTGGGATGGAGGTGAGAGTTCCCTCTGTTTGGCTCTTCTTCACCTCCCAGCCCCAGAGTTGTCAGCCAGAGAGGACTGACCTGGCCTAGTGCTAGGGCCTACAAGGCTTGTGCTGCCCCTCTCTGCTCACAGAGAGGGACCAGAGAAGGAGCGGGAGAAGGAGTTTCCAAATAGATGGGCCTATGGGCTGGACCAGCAGTCCCATCCCAGCCTAGTCTTTGCTCAAGGATGGCCTGGATGGGGTAGAGGTGGCTTGGGGCTCCAGTGTTATTCTGGGCACAGCTGCTATAGTTATTAATGGGAACGGTTCTCCCTGGAGCAGAGCTGGGAATGTAAGAACCAGGAACTGGCAGGGCTGGGAAAGAAAAATCCTGGGAGCCTCCCTCAGTGGTCATGAGAGGAGGCAGGCACTGGCTGGCTGGTGAGGTTGTCAGTTCTGGCTCTGTCACTGACTTTCTGTGTGACCTCAGGCAGGGAGCTTCCCCCACCCTAAGCCTCACTTACCTCAATCTGTTTGTAACTTGAGGAGGCCCAGAGTAGACTCTGGTACACAGTGGGTGCTCTGGAAAATGCAGGATGAATCTTGGTGCCAGGAACTTCAGACCCTTTTATAGCTGAGAGAGGCAGTGACTTGATCAAAGTCTGACTCCTGTCTGACTTCCCCGTGTCCCCTGCATCATTATATTTTGGGGGGTTGTTTACTGAGGGCTTCCTGACTGTGTTCACTCCGGACTGAATGCTCAGTGACCTGGGGCTAGGCCTGCTCTGCCACCATTTAGCCGTGTGTCTTTGGATAGACTTATGTCCTCTGATCCTCAGCTTGCAAAATGGGCTGGGTGAATATCATGTCTCCTGAAACACCTACTAACTTCCTTTTCATTTTCTCAGTGAAGCAGTAGGTCCTTGGAAAGAGGGTGTGCCTCAACAAGGCCCCAGTCTTCCCTTCCTTCAGGAGGGGCCAAACTCTCTGGATTTTTGGTAACTGAGTCACTAACTCCCTGTGGCTACAGATGGGCTGGGATATGTGGCTTGTGCTGGGCAGGCACTAGTTGAGAGTGGCCCAACCTTTCATAATCCTGGAAGATCTACCACCAGGGAGGCCAACACCCAGGCAGCACTTTCTTCTGGAGCCCACTGTGGATCTGCAAAATGTATAAGTACTCCCAGGGCATAGAGTTTAGGTGATTCTGTGGCAAGTGTGAAAATATACCCAGGGATCGGGAGAGGTAGAAACAACCATAAGAAATACCCCAGGTGGGTTAGCAATAAGAGTAGAATGCCTCCAGGGAATGGAAGTGTGGACATGCCCCCAGGGAGTTTTATAGAAAGTGTGGAAACATCCTTAGAGGAAGGTGACAAGTGGCTGAGTAGCAAAACTAACTGTTGGCTATCTTCCGGGACATGTGGAGAGTCAAGCTCCAGGGACATCCAGGGGGCCTGGCCAGCAGCCCCTAGCCCAGGTCTAGTCCGGAGGCAGGCTTGGTATTTACATTCCTGGAGCAGGGGGTCTCCTTCCTCATCTTCACTGAGGGAAGGACTGATTGAGGGCTTGAGTCCTGGTCAAACCCTCAGTCCTCATACTTAAGGGCTCCTGGGGTCTGATAGCTCCCTCCCTCCATCATCACCTCCCACTGACCTGCTGTCTCCCTGGGGCCAGGCAACCTGATGATCTTCCTCCTAGCCAGGGATGCTACCCTTGAGCAGGAGCTTGGGAATAGGGAGTAAGAGGGGGGAGGGCCTGTGGGAATAGGATCTTCATCTGACAGACACAGTTGAGGCCTATGTGATCACAGGGTGAGGATGGTAGCTGTTCTGTGGGATTTTTGCTAGGGAGCACTTTTCAAGCCACACAGACTCAAGTAGTGGTTCTTAATCTCTGGGGTCAAGGACCGCTGTTTAGGAAATCATGATGAAAACCAAGGTCCTTCTTTTCAGAAAAATACACATGGACCATGGCCCCAGGCCACTAAGTTAAAAATGCCTAATCCAGACAGATACCCAGCAAAGGCAATGGAGTATAGTGACCTGGAATCTGCATGGGTTAAAATCCTCTGTGTCTTACTAGCTTTGAGATTTGGGGCCAATTATCTTACATCTCTGAGCCTCAGTTTCTTCACCTATAAAAAAGGGATAGGGGCTTCCCTGGTGGTGCAGTGGTTGAGAGTCTGCCTGCTGATGCAGGGGACATGGGTTTGTGCCCCAGTCTGGGAGGATCCCACATGCCGCAGAGCGGCTGGGCCCGTGAGCCATGGCCGCTGAGCCTGCGCGTCCGGAGCCTATGCTCCGCAACGGGAGGGGCGACAACCATGAGAGGCCTGCGT